AAAGGACCTTTTTTGTTCTCGTTCAAAATAGTTTTCAAATAACAGGGAAGCTACAAGCTCTTTGCTTCGACAATTTCAACAAATGCAATATAAAAACTCGAAAATTTAGTTCTTAAAAGTACTGTTTGTGCTTAAAAGCACAATTTCTAAAAAAATACTATGAAAATCGACAAAAAAACGAGAATTACTCACAAAGATTCAACAACAACACGATATTATACAAAATAATGACTGACACTAGGATAATTGTCAAATTGGACAACATTGCTGAACACGGCGCAATGTGACCAACATAGCCAAAGCAGCATTTGGACGTCGGGACAACGTTGTGTCACGCAAACAAACGTCGGGGCGCAACGTCGGCACAACCTCGTGCCAACCCTAGTCTGCACTAGTTTGGAGAATAATTTTTGGGTCGAAACGACGTTGGATACCGACGTTGGCTAGCAGCCTAATTTAGTACAAACTGCAACGTTGTTTGAAATCCTAATTCACAGAAATACAAAACTATAATAATATGGCGTCTAAGTCGCGTTTTATCCTAAATTGGGATAATTATAGTAAAAATATTATTTTTATGATTTACTTAGGCATATGCCAGATGGCAGTAAAAGAAAACAAAACAAAAGTATTTAAGTGTGGAGGATGTTTGAAGATCATAATTATTGAAACACTTTAACCAGGGACGCGCCAAGTATTTTCGGCGCCGTCGTGCGAAATAAGGGTAGGCGCCTTTCTCCAATATTATAATATTAAGCCAAAATTTCCAATGACCAGCGGCGCGGCGCTCGACATTGGTGGATAATATATTTTCACCACTAGCGTTCATAGATAAAAGTATTACTTAAATTTTATGTTAATTTGTTGATAAGTTTCAAAAAATGGTTTTATTATTTTTTAAAATCAGCGACCGCAGGCGCCCTTAGGGCTTTGGCGCCGTCGTGCGCCGCACAACCTTGCCCATATGGACGGCGCGTCCCTGACTTTAACCGACTCTGTAACTCGTTACCCAAAGCAAAAAAGTTAAACGCAAACAACTTTATTGATAAATGCATTGTTTCTACTTTGAAAAATACTAATGGGTACAAGGTACGAAGCTAACTATTTTTTGTAACTAATCCAACGTTGTGTTTAGTAAACATGTGCTCGCAAGTCGTGAAAATGCTACTTGGGAGGGATAATAAAATTCGGTTTTAACTAATTTTTGCAGCTTAAATCTAAATAAAATATGTTACAATCATTTACTCTATAAAGTGAAATGAAGAGCTGCTCGGTATCTTAAACTATACAAGAAATTTAAACATGTTTGCCAAAATTTCATTTAGTCAGGTTTATAGACTATAGTGGCAATTTCGATATGATTGATGACGTGTATCGGAAAATGTTTTGCGATTACCGTAGAGTTTATATATTCGTCTACAGAAACATCAGTCTTCTAATAATTGTCTTTATATATTTCAGCTGTGAGTGTCTTCCCGGTTTCAGTGGACTTCGATGTGAAACGAACATTGACGATTGCGTCAACAACAAATGCGATAACAACGCCACCTGTGTCGACCTCGTCAACTCCTACGAATGTAAATGTCTCAACGGATTCATGGGTTAGTACCTATAGATATTTTGCCATCAGAATTCATTAGATTTATATTTTAACCAATTAAAATAGTAGTAGTGTTTTAAGTACAATAGATATCCAACAGTATATCTTGCTAAAGAATATAGTAATAGTAGTAATATTAGGTAACCATAGTAGATATATTAATTTTTTCTGATATTTTTTGGATCTTCTGTGTATATATAGAATATTTTACTGAACAGGCTATATCCGATATAACGTCACATTGATTTAATTGGGATTTAACTGGCAATAAAAATAATATTATATTATTTAAAAAAGTAAAATGTCATTCACAAAAAGCAATACGAATTTGTTTAGGCCAATTAACCACAGGTCCAATAAAATCAAATTTGTTAGAGTCAATAAAAAGTAAAAATTAATGATAAATAAAAGTTGACAAATGTTATGGTTTTCATGGATTGTGCTTTAGAGATTTTTGTAACAATAATGCCAGCTCCAGACCAAGGCGACAAAAAGTAAATACGATTTTGAGACAAAAACAAGACAAAAAATGGGGAATTCTGACAATACAAACTTGAGACAAATTGTCCACACCGCAAGGACAAAAGTACAACAAAGTCAAAAGTCTAGTTGTTGCGAATGAGTTTTGTTAACAATGTGTGATTTCACTAGTCTCCTAGTGTTGGCAGCACACGCCATCCACACTGCCCCGACAACTTGTCGTAAAATATACGAACAAAACTAAACACTTTGATCTTTACCGACTCGAGACGGGACATTGAAAAGTCTCCGAATTTTGAAACAAAACAAAAATGAGATAAAAATGTCACAGAAATATATTGGATTTGTCGCAATTTTGTCGTTAAACATGAATGTTTCTGTCTTGTCGTTGTTTTGTCTGCTTGGTTTGGACCCGGCATGACATTCATTTAATATTATTATAAATACGGATTATGTAAAATGACTTAATACAATTAATTATCTCAATGCATGTAATGAGTGAGTAATAATTTTTAGTCGTAGAAAGGAATAATATTGAGAATTAGCCAGATCACTCTATAGTTTATGAAAATTAAGTGAAAAGAGTGTAATTTAGGGTAGATTTTAGTAGAAAATGTTAGAGGTTTCATTAAAATAATTGTCATGAAGATTGTACATTCCAGGCGAGTACTGCGAGAGAAAAATTCCCTTTTGTACTGAACAGTACAACCCTTGTGAAAATAACGCTCGCTGTGTCGATCACGATAGTTATTATACTTGCGAGTGTCTACCTGGTTTTAAGGGCCAGAACTGCTCCGCCAACGTAGACGAATGCGAGAATCACATGTGTCAGGTAAGAAACATATCTTTTTTGTATACAGGGTGGTCCGAACGGTATTCCGGAAACTTCGGAAGAATATTCTGCAGATAAAAATAAGTAAGAGTTCGTATAAATGTACCTCCTAAAATACTTAGTTTCGGAGATAGAGGATGTAGAAATTTCATTTTTATTTCGATTTTTTTCAAATAATTTTTGAAGTAACGTTAATATTTGGATGAAAATTGGTGTCTGGGAGTTTTTTAACATGATAAATTTGATTTTGATGTTAATATGACTCCTACTTGTAGAGAGCGCCACCTACATATGTTTTAACTGGTTTGAAGTGTAATAACTTTTGTCTGTACTTGTATAAAACTGCTGAGTAAAAAAATATACATTTGGGACGTTTTTTACGAAAAAAAGGTATCTTGGTAAAAATCGCTACGAGATATTTGGAAATGATCAATACCTGTCATCATTCACATAAATTAAACATGCTGGCTAAATAGTTATTAGACTGAAATAATAAATTTGAAATGTTTTTGTGTCAGAAGTTCAACAGATACTGTTTTATCATCAATTTATTCAAAAAAAAATTAAAAATAAAACTTCTACACCCTGTATCTCTGAAACTAAGCATTTTAGGATACACATTTATACGAACGTTTTTACTTATTTTTATCTGCAGAATATGCTGCCCGAGTTTCTGGAATATAGTTCGAAACACCCTGTATATCTATAGATGGTGTCTCATATTCTTTTGAGACGCACTCAAAATGGCTCACCCCTATAACTTTTTTATTTTTTTAGATAAAAAAAGGAGATTTGGTATGTTAGTATATGACATAAATTAAGAATGATTGACGCGTTCAATTGTTTTTGGTCACTTCCTGTTTCACCGGAAACGACTACAACTTTTGATTTTTAAATGGCACCCTCGATATATTTTTACTTTATTCGATAGAAAATGACACTCCGAATAGAATGGCGTATCATATGTCAACTTTTGACATTTTCGCTTACAAAAAAATCTTATTTTAAATTTCAATCTAGAATGCTATGGCTGTGTTAAAAAGATTAATTTTTAATAAAGAAACCTTTCAAAAAATTAAATCAAGAAAACACGAAAAATAGTTTTTCGTGTCTTGTCCTGGCGGATTAAAAGATGCACAAATAATCGTTTTTTAATCATATCAATTTTTTCAAATGGAACAAGGGTGGCTCATTAACATATTTGGAATAAGCATTTTTTACGAACAATTTGGTACCAAAGACTTTGTATTTCGAATCAAATTGTGGTTATGAACCACATTTTAAATAAACCATATGCGAAAATGTTAAAAGTTAACATATGATATGTCATTCTACTCAGAGTGTCATTTATTATCGAATAAAGTAAAAATATACCGAGGGTGCCATTTTAAAAATCAAAAATTGTAGTCATTTCCGGTGAAACAGGAAGTAGCCAAAACCATTGAATACGTCAATCAATCCTAATTTATGTCATGTACTAACATACCAAATCTCGTTTTTTATATAAAAAATAAAAAGTTGGTGAACAACTTTTGAGACGCACCCTGTATAAATGTATCTAGTAAATCAGAAGAGATATGTGTATAGTGCATATTCGGTTACTTTTTGATATAATCGACATTTATAGAATGGGGCTCTGTGTGTGGATGGAATAAACGAGTACTTCTGCAAGTGTTCCGGCGACTATACCGGCAAATTCTGCGAGATCAGCCCCATAGTGGCCATGATGTATCCACAAACTTCACCCTGTCAACACCACGATTGCGTGCACGGGGTCTGCTTTCAGCCTAGCGGATCGAACGATTACTTGTGCAAATGTGCACCAGGATATTCAGTGAGCACCATTTTCCTAACCTCTATCTATCTAAAGAAAAAATATTATTGGAAATTACACAATTTAACTATGGTAATCGCAAAACAATTTCCGATGCACGTGATCAACTTTGAGCGACAGCGCTGCCAGATTGTGATGGATTTATCAGATGAATCCTAATTTAAAATTGACAAACAACATATTTATTATATCATTTTTTAAAGAGTTTTAGGTTTTATTTTTAATTTAATAACTAGTATTTTAGTGATTAATTGATTCATTTGTAAACTAGTCCATTATGAAGATTCACTATAAGTGAAGATTCATTATAAGTGTTATTATGGGTTATTTATGTATTGAAGTGTATTGATGTACATCTTACAACGCCATCAGTGGTAATAACAAGTAAGAGGCTGCTATTAATTCACAAACTAATAATCACAGAATTTAATAAAACAAACTTTGAAAGTGTTATAATGTGCTTATCAATCAAACTTACTTTTCTGACTGCAGTCAAGGGTAATAAACGACCTTTATTGTGACCTTTATTCTCACGTTCTCGTTCAAAATAGTTAAAAAACAGGGAAGCTACAAACTCTTCGCTTCGGCATATTTTCAACACACAAGTTCAAGAAATACAATACAAAAACTCAAAAATTTCGCTTCAATTGAGTCAATTAAAAAAAAAAGACTATGAAAATAGGCAAAAAACGAGACTTACTCACAAAGATTCAACAACAACACGATATTATACAAAAAATAATGACTGACAATAGGATAATTGTCAAATAGTAAAGGACAACATTGCTGAACACGGCGCAATGTAACCAACATAACGATAATAAAATCTCGGTTTAAACTAATTTTTACAGCTTTAATCTAAATAAAAGTAGAATGAAGAGCAGCTCTGTATCTTAAGTTATACAACAAATTTAAACATTTTTGCCAAAATTTCATTTAGTCAGATTTATAGACTTTAATGTCAATGTCGATATAATTGATAACGTGCATCGGAAAATGTTTTGCCATTACAATACCCCTTTTATTTTATACTGACACAACAAATTAAAAGGCTTTTTTTCCATTATGTGTTGTATACTTTTTCTGTTGTAATACTAACGCTTCAAATCCAAATCCTAATAACCTTTGTTTCTATTAGGCAAGCGTTGCGAATATCTCACGAGTCTAAGCTTCACGCACAACAATTCATACGTTGAGTTAGAACCCTTGAGGACGAAGCCAGAGGCCAATGTTACGATTGTGTTCTCGACCACCAACGAGAACGGAGTACTGATGTACGATGGACAGAACGAACATCTGGCTGTAGAGCTATTTAGTGGGAGGATAAGGGTCAGCTACAACGTGGGAAACTATCCAGTTTCTACTATGTACAGGTAAGCTAGCTTAACAGTTCAGAGAGTAGTTTTGTTCTCTATAGCGTTTTAATCAAGCGTTTACTATTTAATTTTAATCAATATTTAGCCATATACATATAGATACATTTCTGTAAGAATATTTTCTATTATTTTGATGATTCATTCGCAGTTTTGAGATGGTCTCCGGATGGTCAGTATCACACAGCGGAGTTGATAGCCATCAAGAAAAACTTCACGCTAAGAGTAGACCGAGGTCTAGCTAGGAGTATTATAAACGACGGTTCCAAAGATTACCTCAAACTGACAACGCCCATGTATCTGGGAGGGATACCTCCAGAGCCAGGAGAGCACGCTTACACCGACTGGCACCTGAGAAATCTCACCAGTTTTAATGGTAAGTACATACCAAACTTGATGAGCTCCATTAAAGACTATTTGCATATATTGAGTACTTAATAAGGAATAGTGATATACCTATCCGAAAGCTTGTAGTTCGTATAAATAAGAAAAAATAAACAACATAACAATTGTATTTCATAATTGAAGGAATTATGATACGCAGATATTGGGGTGGGAGTCCACTTGTTAAACCTCTGTTAGCTTACTTAAAATTATATCAACATGGTTATCTGAAATATGAGTTTCAAATAAAGAAAATAATATATTATAAAACTAATTAGGAATAAATCCATTCCAAATTTTATTTAAAGCTTGTAACTAACATTTTTTGATTCTTAATTATATCCCAAATAGAATGATTGAAAACATTAAATTTGTCATTATAATGTCTACTATAATAATACCAGTTTCATTCTATTGGTCAAATGATATTAAGAATTAACACAATGAATAGTCTCACTGACAAACTTTGAATCAAATTTAAAATTGATTAATTCCCAAATAGTTTTATATTTTAGATTTTAGAACTTACTATCAGTTATTATTTATATTGGTTATTATTATTATTACTACTGAAGATTTGTAGTATTATTACGATTTTTAGTATCATTGCATATTATATTGTTAACATACTTATTTATCATAATTAAAGCAATTATGATACGCACCTATTTGTAGGTGCCCACTTGTTAACTTGCTTACTATAGTATCACTTTATATTATTATTGTCTAAGTTTTATACAATTTCTTGCAGTTTCTCACTTCATACTTAAAACTTATAAGTAATTTATTATACAGGGCGAGTCTTAAATAAGTGCAAATATTTTAGGGGCAGTATATTTCGACCTCAGAAACACGATTATGAGGTTTTTTTCACGATTTTTTTTTAAAATTTGGAATTTTTTGAAAAATTCTTTGAATTTGTTTTTTTAGTTTTTAGTTAAAAACCATAACTTCTTGATAAGAAAGATTCAAAGATTAAATTTATCAGAAAGAAAATCCAGAAAAGAGCCAGTGGTTCTCAAAATTTAAGCAAAAATATATTTTTTTGGAACTTTTCAAAGAAATAACTCGGTTGTTTTAGAGTTATTTGAAAAACGGTAAAGAGAAAATATATTTCTTTTATCGAGAAATACCAGCCCTGAAAATATTTGCACTGATTTAAGACTCACACTGTAGAGTCTGTAGAAGCTCAATCTAATACTTAGATTTGTTGATTGGTTCAACTCTTTTGCTGAGATAAAAATTAATTTATCTATATCAATTATAAATAATAGTAGACTGAGGAATGTTCCAGTCCAATATTATTACACTCTGTATTTTTATATTTCTATTGAAAATCTCAGATTGCTTCTTGATGTCACCATTATCAAAATTTTAGTATTTGTTTTTTTTATCGATTTAGTTACATTCCTAAAGCAAACTAAATATTGATACTACAAAATGTAATTTCAAAAATATTATAGCACGCTTGATCATTCAACTTTTTGATCATGTTGTATGTGTAATTGATCATCTAAGGATATATTCCGTTGCTTACCTTGGTTATGGTTTTATGTTCCGTTTCTATCAGTTTCCTGAAAGTTTTCTTACTACGGGACACGGTTCCTGAAAAATTCGGTTTTAACTTTCACCAAACTAACCAGCCCGAGAAGGCTGATTTTTCTAGTTTTGTTTGTCAATAAATGTCATTTATGTGAGAGAAATCAAGCAAATATTGGAAGTTCGAGCGAAATTCTCATTTAATTTCTAAAATTTGTTGTAATATTTTGTATTTACATCCAAAAGCAATGGAGGTAGGCAGTAAAGGTAAATAAATTTCATTAACTAAATAGAATGAATTTTTAGGACCATTTAAACTTATCATGCAGCCATTGTTTCTTAAAGTCAGGAACATTTTAAAGAAAGCATGAAAAACAAGACAACAAGTAATCGTGAATGTTTTGTAAGCTATAAAAATATAAATATTGATTAGATTTCTATATTTATTATTGATCTGTTTAATATTGGACCTGCAAATCTTCACTTGAGCTGCCCTAACGAGTTTAACAGTTTATTAATAAAGTACTTTTCAATATTAAACTCCATTGAAAAGAAGCAAACATAAATGCAGAGAATAGGTACATTAAAAATGCATAAAAGATAAATTTTATAATGAAGGTATTGAAATTTAGAAAACGTCAACATTTGGCATTTCCAGTATTTTACCAAACCGTTCCGTATCAAACCGATGTTTTCAGGAACCGCTCTTTACCGTAGTTTACCGGTCTGGTTCGCCTAGTTTTGCAACGGAATACAGCCTAAATTTTACTTGTTTATCATTGGCATCTTTGAATTTTATAAACTGATATGAAATATTTATTTTGATATAGGCTGCATGAAAGAAGTATGGATAAACCACAAGCAAGTCGATTTTGGTAATGCAAAAACTCAGCAAAAGGTCCAACCAGGATGTGGATCGATAGAAGATAAGTTCGACGACGATCTACAGGTAAGATATTTGAAACAATCACATTTTATCTAGTGGTTCACCATTGACACTTTATTCTAGGAGGACGAAATGGATGAGATGATTGAAGAACCACCTGCACCACCAATAGATCCATGTCTTAACAATAAATGTAAACATGACAGGTAAATATCATAAGTTCCTTTGGTTTTGTTTCATGTACTATTATTAAGTCGTATTTTTTTGGTGATTTAGTAAATGTTATTATCGTCCAAGTTTCTTAAGTATGCTTTTAATTTTCTAGTAAATGTTTGGAGACTACAGGTGGAGAATACGTATGTAAATGCAAACCAGGATACAAGGGCAAATACTGCGAGCAAGGTGAGGAAGAGAGTAAGTATATCACCAGTGGGGCATTAGCTGGTATTGTGGTAATATGCTTTAGCTTTAATTGTCCTCATTTACACGCTACTAAGTCATATCATTTTTAATAGTAAACATCTCTAGTAATCATTTATATTATATTCATAGCAAATTATAAACTTTACATCATATCATATCTCAATAATCATTTAATTTTCATTTGTACCTCGAGTTAAAATAAAAATATGTTCAGTAAATAACATAATACTTCGTGTATGTATTTATGTCCTTTTTATTTTAGCTCCCACTTGCAAAAAAGGAACAAGTCAGAGAATATTATTCAGAAAACGGCTGCAGGTCTAGGAAGCCTTTGAAAATAGCGAAATGTATTGGGACTTGTGGGTCTAGCTGTTGTCACGCTAGAAAAAGTAAACGACGAAAGGTAAATTAACCAGAGCCCATATTTTCACAGACTAGTTCTTTTTTTAACAATAATTCTACAATTACTATTAGAAAAATTGAAGTGTCTTTCTATCTCTGAGATGTTTACAAATCAAATAACAGTATCGTGAGAAATCAATTTTAATAATTTGCATAGTATAAAAAAGTAGGTATTCTATAGAAAGACATCGTCAGAATCGGCTAGTCTGACACATTTAAATTATATATAAAAATTAATCCAATAATACCAGAGTAATAAAGACTAATTATTATAATTCAGGTGTTATTGAAAATGTTTTAAAATTTTGATAGTTGGAGAATAGTTAGTTGTTTTATATTAGCTTAGATATTTTGGAAATTTTTATTTCAAAATAAAATTGGATCTCTTTGTTCGACGAAATACAAAACGCCTACGTATCTTTGATTGACATATTAATATGTGTCTAAACTCTATGCTATTCTAGGTTCGCCTCATCTGTTCCGACGGCACCCGTTACACGAAAGACATCGACGTAGTGCGCAAATGCGCCTGCACGAAGAAATGCTACTGACTGTCATTCGCCGCTACACACACTTCTAACGACGAAGCCCAACCACCGCAGATGCAAACCGCCTACGACGCAGAAGCCAACGACACGAACACAGATGCGCAGCAACTGTCCGCCGGACCCAGTTATCTTGCGCAGACCGACCCGAACGAAGCCGACGAGCTTCCCGAACCGCCCCGATCGTACAGCGACACGATGGCGAGACGGTAGAGGGCGTGCGGTTGACGTTTATCGTTCCTAATGAGACTGAAAATAGGGGAGCGACGGTCTGGTCGTGCAACACATCGATGAGAACGAGTTCGAGAGAGTAAAAAGTGATAGAGTGATCTTGGTAAGTACATAGTTAAAACTTGTCTGTTTTTTTTTTATAATTCAGTAAAGATATTGTAAAATTAATACAGATTTTTTGGTTTCAAAATTAAGAACAATTTGTTCTTGTATAATTGTATATGAATAGAGATACAAAGATGCGGTTTTTACGTCACTGTGCTACTTTTTTTATGAAACTAGAGATGCCACACACAGATTTGTCTCAGCCTTTGAATAAAAAATATTAAGGAAGTAGTATAATGCTATACATGTATTCATGCATGGCCGACGGAAAGAGGACTCTAAGATTCAGTTCCGTTGACCGTGAAGCCATCGAAGATTACAGTTGAGGGTTGGAACCTTTGGTGTTACACAGCAAAATAAAAAACACTAAATCACCACAACACACCAAAACACTTTTACTTTTACACTGGACGCGCGTTTCGCTAACCAAGTTAGCATCATCAGCAGATGATTATAAACTGTTACTAGTTCTGTTTAACGATTCATTTGAGGCATTTGAATTTGATTTGAAATCTTGTGGATTTGTCAGTCTTTACTGAGCTTATTTTATGTTATTTATTATTTATTATACTGCTAATAGTTGTATAAAAGTAGTAAATCTAGAAGGAAATTGTAGCAGAACTTAAATTAACAGTGACACTATTACGATATATCAAAAAAGTCTGTAAAATAGTTGGTTATGTAGCGTGCGGTAGATCTCGGTCAAAAATCCAGGGAAATAATGGAATAACTTTTCGCTACTTTCGTAATATACAAAAGTGTAGTAAAACGATCATCTATGAAATTCACTTAAAATTAACTAATTATATATTTTCTCTAGCATTTTTGCTTTTATTTACTACTTGTCAAAGATGTCAAAGAATTTGATACGTCAATTTGACTTGCCTGCTTCAGTAGCGTATCGGATGTTTGTGTTAACAAATAATTATTATAACTTACCTATTTTTATTAGAATTGTATATTTTTATAAGAATTTTAATAACTACCTATATTTATTGACAACTTAAAATAAAACAACTAATTATTGAGTCTACCCTACATCATTTTTTTGCAAGTTTTGAATAAAATTAGAACGGCACTGATAAACCGGAATTTAAGTCATTTTAGGAGCCCGTCGCGTTCGATCTAAGATTTTTGATATGCTCCTTCCTTAATCTTTTTATCCAAAGGTCTCAGCCCTCTTATTACCTGAGATACAGGGCGAATTTTAAGTTATTGCATTTTTCGACTTACCTCGTATCTTGGTTATCTTATATTAGAGAAGGTGAAAATTGAGTTCCATATAATCCAGTAAAATTGTATCGCCGTATAAAGAGTGACAAAAAAAT